GCACCTGGCTAATCTTGTCAGGCCTTAGAAACTAAATAAGGTCAGGCCTGGTTAGTACTTGAATGGATATTAGTAGGGAATTTCAGAGCTGTAATATGTAGTGTGAACAAAGTCTTTAATAGGGCTGAGTTTCAACTGAAGATCTTCAGTCGCTGTACAGTATTGGTATTCAGAGGAACATTTATTGATAAGCTACAAGTATCTTTAGCAGGCCTATAGCAGGTGGCAGCCCCTTAGCAAGCTATTCAAGGTCATATCTGGTTAATGTTTAAACTGGAGACTACTAGGAAATACTAGGGCCATAGGCAAGATTGGGAAATAATAAAATACAGAAGAAGGCTGAGGTAAACTCCTTCTGTATTGATGCTAAGAAAACTGTGCAGAAATCATGGAAATGTCATGGACGTGAGCAAATAAGATGTGGATATAATAAATTAATTACCATTCTATACTTTCCTCATTTCATATTCTTCTGACCTTACTATTACAATGCTAGAACCCAGCATATATGGGTATTGCCACCAGGGACACATAAACAGGGGATCTGGATCTGATTGGGATAGGACAAGACTACAGTGTTTTCTCTCTTTAATTAACCTTATAAGACAGAAATAAGCAGTTGGAATATCAGCCAAATCTCATCAAAGTAGACAAGCATTTTTACTTTTCAGCTTCAACACTGCTAATTCTTTTCATTCTTTAGTGAACAATTTCCCACCTCCCAACTGATAGCCTGACATAGTCTAAAGTAAAAATATCATATGAGGTTTTCTCTAGACCTGTTTCAGATGTCTCAAAAACTCTCTAAGTAAGCAATTTTTAACACAGTATGATGTATGCTTAACATATGATTTAACATAAATGTGTTCCTAACATATGTGAGCATAATCCTGCTCCCTGCACCCCGGAGTCTCTATTAGTTCTACTCCTATTTACCACTCTAGGTCTAAGAAAAGGGCTTATATAATTCATTGGCATTGTACCATCCACTTTCAAGTTGAAGAGATGATAGATGACAAGCTGTTTAATTCTTTGACAGGAAAACCTTTGATCTTCTTATCCCCAGCTATAGGGTCATTTAGTTGGGTGTCCTCTTCAGCACTTTTGTCCCAGGGCATGCCCTCAAATGCTTCAGTGAATCTTGTCCCAGTCTCATCCAGCACTCGATAAATTGGTCAAAACTACTTGGTCCATTCGAAGTTTATTGGCCAACCTTACTCTGGATAGAAACCAACAGTTCAATATTTGATATTCAATAGCTACCAGCACTGCCTATTCCATTTTAGCCATGATAGCTCTTCAGCTGTCATCCAGCATCTCCATTACTCAGCTTCTTTTCCCCCACAATCCTCTCTCATCTTAATGTGGCCTCCTGGAAGTTTCTAAACCTTCCCTATTCTCATACCTTATCAGCAAGCAAAGCACAATGCTGGAAGAAGAGAGTTCGTTTGAGTTACCCCCTCTTGTCCCAATGCCCAATAATAACAATACAACTTTTTAGGATCATGGACTGCATTCATCTTTCTGAATGGTGTAATGTGGCATATATGATACACTGAAAACCATTAGGTCTGCATGTTGCCCACTCCTGTGCTGTGTCAAAATAAACAAATCACATGACTTAGTGAAGCTGGTCAATGAACATTATCAAGTGATGTTTTTCCTGACATTACACTAAATGACAAGGAAAGTTTTATTTGTTAAATTTCAGGATGCTTTTAAAAGTCCAGGTGTAAAGTCTGATAAGAAGACTTCAACTCCAAAGGACCTTGGAGGAAACAGATTATTTAGACCTTTTCAGTCTGGATTCAGGCTTAGTCATAGTATCAAAACAGCATTGGTTTCACTTACTGATGACCAACGGAGAGCACAGGATGGAGGTCGTGCATCAGTCCTGGACCTCCTTGATCTCTCAGCAGCTTTCAATACCCTCAAATATAGTATCTTTCTGGACCAGCTCAGGAAGTTGACAGTTGCAGGCAGGGGGCTACAATGGTTCTCTGGGGTTGGTTCCAAATAATATTGGTGGGAGGTGAGCAATCCAATCCTAGAGCCGTGCTTTGTGGGGTGCCACAGGGTTCCACTCTCTCCCTGCTCCTAATATTTACATGAAACTGTCAGTTGAGATCATTTGGCCACAGGGGGTGATGATACTAAATTGTGTATCTCTGTCCTGGCTGTCCAAGTAATACTGTCAACATTCTGTGTTAATGCCTGGAGGTTGTGAGTGCTTGGATAAGGAAGAACAGTTTTCAGCTCAACTTTGGCAAGAGGTTTTTTTGGGGGGGAGGCTTGTCCAAAAATTGGAAGTTTCCACCTTTGGTTTGAGGAAATGCCCCCCAGGCCTGGCATGCAATTTGGGGGTCCTCTTGGGTCCTCATGGCTCTTGCCTGAAAAGCAGGTGGCAGCTGTGGCTAGGTTCTTTGCAGAACTCCATCTGGCCACCAGTTGCACCTGTTCCTGGGCGCCACTGCTCTTTGTCACTCATACAGTCACCTCTCCGTTGGACTACTGCAATGTGATCTAGTTGGGGCTGCCCTCTAAGACCACCCAGAAACTGCAGCTGGTCCAGAATGAAGTGGCAAGGGTAGTCATAGGTATACCTCAATATGCACATGTGATGCCTCTACTTCATGAACTGCACTGAGTCCTAGTGGGCTTTCAAGTGCAATTTGAGGTGCTGGTTACCATATATAAAGCCCTACATGGTGCAGGACTGGGATATTTGTGGGACCACCTGTTTCTGATGGTTTCAGTCCATCCCACAGTTCCAGCAGAGTGGGCTTGGTCCAGTCCCTTCCTTAAAACAATGTCATCTGATGGGACTTAGGAGGCATCACTTCTCAACAATGGTGCTTGCCCTGTGGAATGGTCTTCTGCTTGAGATTTGACTGGCTCCAATCCTATTAGCCTTCAAGAAATCCTTGAAGACCTAGCTGTTCCCTCAAGTTTTGGGGGTAGAATGTTAAGAGAAGTTCATCCTTCAAGGTGCGGTATATGTGGTATGTTTCAACTGTATGTTTGGTTACTGTGGTTTTGGTTGGTTGTTTGGATTGTAATTCTTATTTATTGTTGTATGCTGGCTGGAGTCACTCTTGCAAAAGTTGTGCAGCCGTATCAATCCTTTAAATAAATAACTTCTATGAAAATCAATAGCACTTTGGAAACTATAAAATTCCAAGTCAATCAACCACAATGTTTAATACTTCATTTTACATATTAACTGGCATATTAGCACAGTATTATGATTCTTTTTATTTTATATATTTCCAGGCTTATAGGCCACTTCAATCAATTGACTCTGAGTGGCATACAACTTCCCAAATCCAGCTTTTGGTTTAAAACAAATACATAAAAGCAAAAAATTAAAACCCCAAATATACAATATAAACAATTAAGTACCCCAGGAATCAATTATGTATTACTGAAACCATTTATCATTAGCTATTGTTTTAATTTCTTTTTTTGCTACAGAAAATGAACCCAACATAATTGTAACATATTGTGAAATACTTAATCTTTTTCAAACAGTAAATGAAGTAATGTAAAATGACAGATTTCTTGGGAATTCAGACTGATAGTTTACCTAATTATACTTGCGGAAATAGGGAAAAATATAGTAGAAAGAATGTTATTTAACACTGTAATTCTTTAATATTAAAATGAAAAAGCAATGTGGAGATCTGGGCACAACTGCAAAGTACAGTCTACTCCAGCTTTGTTCCCACAAGCTTTCCTTGGTTGCACAGGGTCTTATACAGCTATTTCTACAGGGCAGTTGTGGAATGGAGGAGAAAAAAATGAACCAAAGGTTAATCTTGATAAGATTATCAGTCCTGTGGGTTGGAAAACTGCTGATGTGGCTAGAAACAGACAACCAAGCTTTGAATGGCTGCAGGTACAACCACAGTAATGCCTGAATTTCAGGCTGCTTCATAGTTAAAAATAAAATGGATAATCGATTGCCATCAGGATCTAACCTATTCTTTGTTACCTGCTTGGCAATGTCTTAACATTAACTTACATTTTAAAGCATTCACGATTCATCTGCAGTGCTGTTTTATTGTAACTGGCCACTTTAAGGATGTGTGGCCAGTTTTGTCATTATTCTGGATGTAGTTTTATGTTCTAAAGGTAATTCTCCTACAATGCCTTGTTAGGGTAATGGGCCTTCAAAGGCATTGCAGTAATCTTGTTCCCACTGCAATCCCATTGATATTTATGATTATTGTTAAAAATTCAGGGAAGGAATGCAGGGTTGGCTTATTTGATCAAGGTTAAAATGGAAAATTAGTTTTATCTGGCTTCCCTTACTGGACTTTTGCTGATAAAGAATTGACGACGAGGCTTTTGCACTTTGTTTTTTTAATTAAGAGATGAGTTATGGGGTGAAGAGCGTATATGTTGTATTAAGAGATGATAAGCTATTAAAATTGTTTTTACTTGCTGGGATGAAGGGGGAAGTTACTTTTTCTTTTCTCATTTCTACAATTTTTCTTTTTGTATTCCTACATTTTTTGTAGTTTGTATTTGTTTTTATTTCTATTTGTAACTCATAATAGAATTTGAGGAAAAAATTGTATTTATGATTGAAAAGAAAGGACTGATTGTAAGACACCGTATCTTCTTTCTCCACATCTTAAAAAATAAAAACAGCTGTCATGAGGCAGCTCACCGCCCAGAGTCCCCCGTTGGGGGGAGATGGGTGGCATACAAATTTAATAATAATTAAAAAAAAACTTATCAGAATTTGTTCAGGATTTCGAGACGTCTTCCCTTCCTAATTGCTAGTTTTCCATTTTGACGCAAGATGGCGCTGTTCTTCGGGCAACCTTAACACCCCTCCGCGCTCGCTCCCACCACTGCGCGGAGGCTTCTGAACGCCCTACCTGAGCGCAGCGATTTAATTTTGCGAGGCAGCCTGGCTGCCCACGCCGAAGACGGCTTCCTCCTCGCGCCGGGAACAGCTGCTTTTCCGCCCAGCAGCCAGCCCTGGCTGTTCCGGACCCTGCAAGGGAGGAGAGGGGAGGGAACATCAGTGCGGGCGATACAGCAGCCGGGCCCGGACACATCTCTCCCAGCCAAAACCGCTGCGCTGAGCTGGAACCTTGGACCAGGAAGTGCTTGTGCAACCCACCCACTCAGCCTCGCCTGGCTCTTGGCGTCGGAGGGGCTGCCCTCTGTCCGATTTCCTCGCTATCTGGGAAAGCAGCTGGGCCTTCACTCACTGGACATCTCAGGCAGCGGTAGGATGGCTTCAGGTAGGGAAGAACCTTCGCTGTTTTGAAACAAAGTAAGTTCCGGACTAGCTCCTTTCGCCTTTCCTCCCCCGTCTTATTGTCCTTTGCCGAAGGAGGGATCTCCCTCCTCCTCCCAATCCCTCCAGCTACTTCCCCAGCCTCGTTCCTTCAGACGGGTTGGAATTCCTCTCTCCTAACCTCTGCCAATTGCCGCTCGGGGTGTTACAGGCGCCGAGGGCGAAGCAGCAGTTCGGGAGGCGCGGGACGGCTCTCGGAGCCGCTCCGCGCGCATCCCCGGTTGGCAGCTTCTCAGCTTCTCCCATCAACTGGGAGGAGTCCGCCGTCTCTGTGTTTCCGTGGCGCAAAAACGCCGGCGGGTGCTCTTTTAGAAGCAACGCGGAGGCTTCTTTAAGCCGGTGAAAGTTGGGAAGTCCTTCGGCAGCCCGGAGAGCGCCTGGGTGTGGAAATCGGACGCAGCGGGGAAAAGGCTTGCTTTCGGGGTCATCCCCCCCGCCCCGCTTTAGCGTAGCTCAGTTTCTTTCAAACTAAGGCCGGGAGGGACGCGTTAGACCGTTTGAGGAGAGCCAGGAGTAGGCGCGGACCGTTCTTCCGAATGTTGCTCGTGATCCCGGTTTGCGGGGAATAATAATTAACTTGGAACTCCGTGCAAGCGGCAACAGCAGCCCCTCCGTCGACGGCGCCATTCCCCAGATGCAGCCGACTTCCTTTCCCTCGGCCCCGGCCTCTCTCTCCCGCAAGAAGGCACGTTATTCCGCGGGCTGCACAGGCCTCGCGTCGCCGGCGCCACTGCCCGTTCCGCAGAGGAGCTCAGTCTGGATTGCACCCCGCTTGCAAGCTCCTCCTCCCGCGCCGTAGGCGGAGCGGCTGCGCGCCGGGCATCTCCAAGCGGGGCCGGGGCCGAGCGGGAAGAGCCGACCTTTTCGAACTCTGCAGCTGGCCTGGGGCGCCCGCAAGCGCTTTCCCGGCAGGGAGACGGGCCCCCGCCCGCGAAACCCTTTCTGACCCGTTTCCCCGCCCCCAGGCAGTGGCCCTGACTCCCAGGCCGCTGGCGCGTCACGAAGTAGGCCGCTTCCGGTGGAAAGGAAGGCTGGAGAAAGGCCGATCGGGGCGAAGCGCAACTTATGCATTTTAGAGCCATTGCTTTTTATAGGCTAAATTCGAATAGCATCCGCTACTTCGGGGAGCGGGGGATCTATGCACGCCGGATTAACGTCGTGGAGGCGATCAAAGAGTAGTTTTAATCGTTTCCCGCTTTCAGTAGACGCCTTCCGCTAAGCCGGCTTGTTTAGCCCTAACTTTGTTGAATTATGGTTGATTCATAAGCCATAATTCGTTTAGCGCGATTTATGAACACCGAAAAGTTGCTCCGGAAATGGTTGGGTTCACATAATATGGGCGACTAAACTACTGTAGCCCACCTACAGTTTAGTGTACGGTGTTGTAGGAACCCAGCCGCTTGGTTAATGACTCCGTGCGCAGTGTGAATCGGTTTAACAAGGCGGATTCTTAGTAAGCAGTGTGTAAAGCTGGCTTCTTCCAGTATGTTGGGCCATCATTCCATGAACCATGGAGGATAAGCGCTGCAGCCGCTCTTGCGCGAAGGGGCGCAAGCAGCCCCCTTTTTGGCGCTGGGTTGATGACATTCAGGGTTCCTTGGACTGGGAGAGAGGCTTCTTTCGCCTCACCCGGCGGATCTACACCATCTTGTCTAAGCAAAAGTGGGAGGGAGGATATTAGTGACAGCAACTAGGGAACTAGGGCTGGCTGCGACGATCTTCTAAGGGTTCGCGGCTTCCCCCCCCCGCTGAAGGAGAATGCAGGAGAACGCGCTTGTTCGGCTCCAGGGAGCAGTGCACG